TTAAAAGAAAGTGAAATAAATAAATGAAATGAAAATTAGAATTACAATGTAACATAATTCTCTACTCAAGCAAAGGCAGGGGCAAATACAGGATTCTGTGGCATGAAGGGGAGAGAGAGAGAGGCACAAGTTTGAACATTTGAAAGATATGCAATTAAAAAAAGGGGGAGGAGATTGTTCATGGATCCTCAGGCCTTTAGAGATATACCGAGGTCTTCCCATCCATTCAAGCAAAAAGTCAAGGGCAGGTCTACATCTAAAGGTTGGATTTTTTATGTTGGAGGGGACACAAGTGTGAAAAATTGACAGATTTATGATAAGACAAAAAAAAGGTAAAGATATAGGCCCAGGAGGTGTCTGGCACTTTATAGTGTTGTAAAATAGTATATATTGTATCCTGCATCAAAATTTGATTAGTTTTTGATTGGTTGAGAGCTCTTCTCGTGACCAGCAATATTTCAACCATTTTAAGGTTGCTCTGAAAAAATACAACCTGTATTAGGGATTACTAGTTAGGAGTAGAAGTACTAGTTGAGAGTTGAAAATTCAGCGAGCGAATAGGATTTCAAATGACTCCAGGGGGACAACTTTCTCGGAATCATGGTGCTCACGCCGTGCAATCTATGCTGAGCTGCAGTCTAATTATCTGCGCCGCACTACTGAACCAGCAAAATCTTCATCCACAACAGTTCCCTATTAATGCCTGTGTGGTGAATTTTACAAGTAGACCACATGAAACATTGAAGAATGTAAATATGTTTGAAACATAATTGTTTGTTAAATGTTTGAGACACTGTAAAATATGTTAATCGTTGACGTTAGAACTTGTTCGAGTTGGATGAATTTATATACATTGGAAATCGTGTAAGAAACTTCAAGACAGGAGCAAATATAAAGGTGAGTTATTCTGCTTGCTTATACATTTTTCATGTAGGATATAAAACAAATATACCCTGCTTTCTTTTTGAGGTGGTTTAAAACTATGGGCCTCAGTGACTCCGATAGTACTACTGGAGTCACCTCTTGCCCATATTTTTAACCAGAACCTATTAAAACAGTATATATTTGTATACTATAGTATAAACAAAAATACTACTATCTGAAAATAGAGTCAAGATCAAAGATATCCATAACTTCAAATTGGAGGATAATGTAAAAGATATGTTGTGATATGTGATTTTTATACATTTCTCTTTCTCTTTATAATTTGAATACCGGTAAGATAAATGGCACACCAGTGGGATGGGCAAAGCTGTAGCTGCTTAAAGACCACTTGATACTTATTATGCTAACGAACTGAGCCCCAAAAAGTGTTGTAGCGGCCAAAATGAAACTGGAAATGCGGGGAAGGCAAAAGTTTGAGAAGGGATTCTGAACGTGCAGAAAGATTTGCGCACCCAGAGAAGACACTGATGTGTGGATCAATTGTGAGCTGAGATAAGCTGAAGCTGTTTTGGAGACCACTTGATTATTATAATGCTGACGAACTGAGCCCCAAGAAGTGTTCTAGTGGCCAAAATGAAATGGGAAATGAGGAGAAGGCAAAGGTCTGAGAAGTTATTCTGAATGCGCAGAAAGATATGCGCCCCTAGAGAAGACACCAAGGTCTGGAGCAACTGTGAGCTAGGATAAGCTGAAGCTGTAAAGGGACTACTTGATACACATGATGCTAACGAACTGAGCCCCAAGAAGTGTTGTAGTTGCCAAAATTAAACCGCAAATGAGGAGAAGGCAAAAGTCTGAGAGGGGTTTCTGAACGTGCAGAAAGATATGCGCACCCAGAGAAGACACCAAGGTGTGGATTAATTGTAAGCTGAAGCTATTCACTTGCGGACTGCTGATGGCCTGAAACCTGATGATGAAAGTAGAAGCAGTCAAAAACAAGAAGCAGCCGACAAACAAGAAAGAATTGCAGAGGTATCTAGGAACGATTGATTATCTGGGCGACTTTATTCCTAACTTGTCAGAAGTGACTGCACCTCTGAGGAAGCTCTTGGTGAAAGAGAATGACTGGCAGTGGCAGCAAGAGCAGACTGGATCTTTCGAGAAATTGCAGAATCTGGTAACAGAAGCTCCCATACTGCAATACTATGACCTAGAAGTGCCAGTTGTAGTAAATGTGGATGCATCGCAGAACGGTTTAGGAGCAGTACTCCTTCAGAATGAGAAGCCAGTGGCCTATGCATCCAAGCCCTTCACTGAATGTGAGAGACGATATGCCCAAATAGAAAAAGAACTGGCAGCTGTGGTGTATGGAGTTGAGAAATTTCACCAGTACATGTTCATGAGAAAGTTTGTGGTAGAGTTAAATCACAAACCACTGGAGTCGATCATGAAAAAGCCTCTTGCCAATACTCCACCATGTCTACAGAGAATGCTGCTGAAACTCCAGAAATATGACTGAATTTTGCAGTACAAGAAAGGCACTGAGATGTATGTTGCTGATGCTCTGAGCAGAGACTTCATCCCAGAGAGTGAAGAAGATGAGGACAGCCAAATCATAGCAGTATGCATGGTAGACTATCTTCCAAGGTCTCCAGCTAGACTAGATGAGCTGCAGAAAGAAACTCTAGCAGACCCTGTGTTGTGTATTAAAGCTGATGGAAAGAGTCAAAGAAGGCTGGCCAGAGAGACGTCAAGATGTAGAAGCAGAAATAAGGCAATACTGGCAGTTCAAGGATGAGATCACTACTGAATGTGACATGATCTTCAAAATGCAGAAAGTGATCATACCTAGCAAGATGAGAAAGCTGATGCTAGAAAAACTCCATCAGAGTCACAAAGGAGTAATATGGCACCTGGTATCGAGAGAACATACTAGGCTTCGACAGAGTCCAGACCCTTGCAGAGTTTCTTGTACAGTTCAGGGGGAGCGACAGTGTAGTGAGCCAGTGCCAGGCAGAGAAGATATTGGAACTGTGAAGAAAACTAGAGCTGTTTGACAAGACCATCAACCGCCCAGCTCGCCATCAGGTGAAACTCACCAATGGGCGATTTAAGACAACCGGAGTGACCATGGCACTCGGTGTCGAGAAAACATACTAGGCTTCCTAAGAACATACTAGGCTTCGACAGAGTCCAGACTCTTGCAGAGTTTCTTGTACAGTTCCGGGGGAGCGAGAGTGTAGTGAGCCAGTGCCAGGCAGAAAGGATAGTGGAACTGTGGAAGAAACTGGACCAGTTTGACAGGAGCACCAACCGCCCAGCTCGCCATCAGGAAAAAATTAAGAAAGGGACGATTTAAGTCAACCGGAGCGACCATGGTACCCGGTGTTGAGAGCACATGCTAGTGCTCAACTGTGAGCAATCCACCATAGACTTGACTTCGAGACTACGCAGTCTGTTAAGAAATTGGCAACTGAGTTTACACCGATGACAGCTGCTCAACAAGAATATGCTAACAGTGAGCAATTCACCATAGACTTGTCTTCAAGACTATGCAGTGTTAGTCCAAACTGCTGCTTCATGCAACTTTACAATGCCAAGCCCTTCCCTTCAAAAACAAAATTAGAATGTCCAATTGTCCACATGGAATAGGTGGAACTGAGTCGAAGTCTAAGATCTTGTCAAGGAATAGGCTAATAGGGCTTCTGCAATGGAGTTGGATAAACTTATAGACTTCAAGAACAAAGGTAAAGTAATAACTTTCACACAAAAAGAAAACGAAGTGAAGAAAGAAGAGGAAATCGCATCAAAACTCCAACACAGCTAACTTTTTGCCAACAGTGAGCAATCCATCATAGACTTGTCTTCAAGACTACGTAGTGTTAATCCAAACTGCTGCTTAGTGCAACTTTATGATGGCAAGCCCTTCCCTTCAAAAACAAAATTAGAATGTCCAATTGTCCACATGGAATAGGTGGAACTGAGTCGAAGTCTAAGATCTTGTCAAGGAATAGGCTAATAGGGCTTCTGCAATGGAGTTGGATAAACTTATAGACTTCAAGAACAAAGGTAAAGTAATAACTTTCACACAAAAAGAAAACGAAGTGAAGAAAGAAGAGGAAATCGCATCAAAACTCCAACACAGCTAACTTTTTGCCAACAGTGAGCAATCCATCATAGACTTGTCTTCAAGACTACGTAGTGTTAATCCAAACTGCTGCTTCATGCAACTTTCCAATGCTAAGCCTTTCCCTTCAAAAACAAAATTAGAATGTCCAATTTTCCAAATGGAATAGGTGGAACTGCATCAAAGTTTAAGATCTTGTCAAGGAATAGGGCTTTCTGCAATGGAGTCAGATAAACCTATAGGTTCGTATTCTACTATTCTATAGTTAGTTTCTCTAAACTAAAGTTAACCCAAGCTTAGCTAATCAGCACTTAATCAGGACCTCCATACTAAGTGTAGATTACTAAGTGTAGATTATCTCTGGTTTGTATTCTGATAGCAAGGTCTAGCTAAACTTCAGACTAAGTCCAGACTAAATCTTAATCCCGGCTGTAATGCTCAGTTCATCTATAGCGTAGTCTGCTCTCATCTCCCAAGATGGCTTCACAGATCTTTACTTCAAAACAAAGAGGTACGAGGTCCGCAAATTGGACAGCAGACGAGAAAAATTATCTCGTCCATCTAGTTTCTGAGAGAATAAGTGTAGTGGAATCCAAGAGAAACGATCACGAAACGGTTTCACAAAAATCAAGTACTGAGGAAGAAATTTCATGAAGTTTCATGCCCGATACGGACGGCAAGGGGTGGGAGGGCTAAATCCTGTTTCAAGAACAAAGGTAAAGTAATAAATTTCAAGAAAAAGAAAACAAAGTGATGAAGAAAGAACAGGAAATCGCATCACAACTCTAAAACAGCCAACTTTTCCATCCAAGAGCATTTAACTGTGATAAGAGCAAGGATGACCTCTTTACACTTTTAAATAGTGTCTTTGAAATCACAGAGCAGAACTTTGCCTTCTTAGATCATTTTTATTCAGTGAGCTTGGTCAACGATCTGATACAGTGGAGAAGAGAGAAAACATATTCTATAAGATAACCTGTGGACCATAAGACTGGAAAACAACACTGAACAGAACTTTGCCTTCTTTACTAGATCATTTTTATTCAGTGAGCTTGGTCAACGATCTGATACAGTGGAGAAGAGAGAAAACATATTCTATAAGATAACCTGTGGACCATAAGACTGGACAACAACACTGAACAGAACTTTGCCTTCTTTACTAGATCATTTTTATTCAGTGAGCTGGGTCAACGATCCCCAAGTACAGCGGAGAAGAGAGAAGAGCATTTTCTATAAGATAACCCATTAGCAGGAAGACTAAAAAATAACTCTTTCCATTATCTATTTCAAAGAAAGGAGTTCTTGGAGGTATATATATTATTGCTTTTATATGATGGGTAGAAGAATCCCTGTAATTTGATTGGTCAATTACTGTGTAGTTTGCGGCGATTTGATTTTCCAGCTACTGTCAGAGGAAGAATTATCTAAATTGTTGGGTGCGGCTAGCACGAAAAGGTCAATTAAGTATGGATTTTAAAAGTTGGAAAAGTTGCACAGATCAAGAACGTCAATTTAGGAGACATTTTAGCGCCAGAATTTGACAAACTGTTATCATCGTTCTAAACTTCTATGCTTCTGTACATAAGACTGACTGAGTTGTATACATAGAATCAAAGTCTCTTCAGTACCTTCGCTATGGCATACAACGCCACTTTTTGGATCACTGTACTTTAGATATCTGTAACAAATTTCAATTTCCCGAGAGCACACTAATGTTTAAGGCTGTGTTGGTGAAACTAAAGCGAGAGGGGCTGGGAAGCACCACACTTAAAACACTCAATTTCTGTACTTGAAATGGACAAGATCTTCTTCTAAGTTAGATTGCACCTCCCAAAACTCAAAAGGCTTGCCAAATTGATTTAATGACTTTCTTTTGTTAAGGTAAGTCGTTTTCATCCATTGCACTTACAGTACAACAGTCAAATTATGCAAATTTAAAATCATGCTTTCCGGTAATTACCGGATGCATAGCTAGGCAAAATCATGCATCCGGTAATTACTGGAAAGCACGATTTTGCCATGCACCCGGTAAATCTGTAAAATTACAGATTTGCGTATTTTTGATGATTTTTGGGGCCCCATTTTATAAAACAGATGATGCACAGGTTTAATTTGTGGAGCGGTGGTATTGTGTGAATTTGGTCTAAAACCATTCAAAGGTACCTTGTGCACACAATTCCTACCGACGCACTCAATCTTGTGCATCATTTTTATAATGACAACCACTAAATAGAAATTACTTATTGAATGAATAAAAGTTTTGACATTGTATTTTCAAAATAATTAATCAAAAAAATTTAAACTATACACTTGCACTATAATTCTACAATCCGTTCACTCCTTTTATAATATAAATATATAAACTTTTTTCTTTCCAAATAATACATAATAAAAAAAAAGCTTGAATATTTCCATAGTACATTATATGATGTAACTCTTGCTAAAATCTATTAAAGATAAGGCATTCAAAGGAAGCAAAAAATACATAAAATTCTTCCTTCAATACAAAATGACAGAGCATATCAAATGAGTCCTTCAAAATGAGGTAAAAGACTCAAGAAAATACTATGGAATGTAAATGATTTAATAAATTCCTACGACTCTTCCTCCGGTAGAATCTCCTCCACAACCAGAGCGACGTCGTGATCGATCCCTGCTTCCTCTAGCGTGTCTGTTGCATGCTGGGATAGATCCTGCCGAGGGTAGGTCATGACCAGCGTGTAGAGCTTCTGGTGGTAACCCAGTTTGGACATCCAGTTTAGTAAAACCTGGAATAATGATCATAGACAAATATTAATGAATCAGTGGTGATGATGATGATGATGATGATGATGATGAGTAATGGTTTTGAGTGTTTGTAATGAGCCCACTTCAAATGTAAATGTCCTCAAGAGTGTAAAAAAGAGAGGTATTAGAACATAAGAATAAACTGGATTACTGGAATGACACTATAAAGAAAAACAAAAGGTAAAATCTACTGGAAAGCAATATTTAACAAAAAGGTGAATATCTGTTAAGCCTAATCTATTATTGGTATTTTACAACTGACTAGATATACTCATATCAAACCATTTATCTTAATTTCAACCTGTCATCAGAGATAAGTTATCCTGATTCTACACTGCAGAAGAAACTATATGTGACCGGTTCTTAAGGGCTTGTTCAGCTATGGCACGGTTAGCCACCATGTTTTTTTAATGTGTAATTGAATGGCAACTGCGTGCAACAAAGGATATGCGCATGTTCACTGAGCTCTATGTTATAAGATACACAAGACAAGCATAAACTTTACATTATCATGACAGACCGCCGCGGTTATGCCACTTTCGGTATGAAAGAGCCTTTATGTACAAAACCTCAAGACTGAAAGAAAATCCGTATAAGATAAATATTCTTCAAGTTTTACTTTTCTTCAAATGTCGAGAATACACTACAGAACTTTTGATAGTAGTCTACTCCATACTCACCTGAACCTTTTCTGTGAATAAAAAACGTCTTCTTTTCACTATGCTAGCGGTGCCCCTCAATGCAACAGTAATGCTCTGTTTTACAAAAAATAGAAAACCATAAAATGAATAACAATTTAACCTGTATATACCTAATGAACAAAATGATTGATTTTACATCTTGTTGGTGCTTAAGGAATAATAATACATGCAATTACATTCAAAATATGCCCATAAGGGTCTATCCATATGAATTCTGGTTCAGATAGCTTTCTCAAAGTGAATTTTAAAGCCTTTCTGCACTAGTTTGGCCAGAAGGGATTAGACCTCCCTGCGTGGTCACTGACAGGTGATTATCTCATCAAATCAGCTCTCAATTAGCATAAGAAAAAGGGGACCATGGGGACCAACGGTCACCACTTAGGCATTGTTTGCTATATAGAGGGCGCAAGTAGGTACAAGCAGTATCGTCCCGCTTTAAAACTATCAACTGAGAAAGATATCTTTGTATGAAGAGGTAAATCATTCCATTGACATTTAACAGCATCTAAATTCATGCCTCCTTTGGAGGTTGAAATAAAATAAAAACACCAACAACAAAATAATGATTAAAGCAGTATTAGTATCTAGAAGAATCCAGAAGAATCTAGAAAATGTTGTTACCTTTGGTGTTCCTTCTTCTGGTTCGTCTGGCAGTGTTATGACCTGCAGTGAGCACAACACAAACGTCATTCATTACATTAAACATTACAAACTAATTCACCCTTAAGGCTCATTCAAATATCCGCCACAAAACACATGTTTTTTTAAAACAAGTAAATGAACGGCGACTGTGTGCATCAAAGGTCCTGCACGTATAACTGAGCTCTGTGTTATTGTATAAAACATGTGTTAGTCTTTACAACATCATTTTTTTAAAGGACAGCTGTTTTACCGCTTACATACTTAAATAATGTTTCCTTTTCATTGTTTAACTTCATACAAATCCTACTCTGCCTACAGTACTGATAGGATTAGGTATACATGTATCTCCTGCACTTTTCCACAGATGATTAGGATAATACTTTGAATTATAGAAATATTAAGTTTGTTAATATATGTATACATGTAAATCACATTTTGATATGAAGTTATTATTGTTTTCATATTTGTATTATTCCTTATGCTTACATATTCAGTTATTGTATTTGGAAAAAAGCAGAAATAAAATTAAACAAAATAACATATAATCTCTGAGTCAAGGCAGGTAAATATCAATGAAAGTTGATCTTAATGAGCTAACTCCCTCATCTTTTGTGTTTGATGCAATAAAGGATACTGCCCTCCCTCCAGATAAAAAGTATTGGGGTATAGATCATAACATTAGCAATTGCTAAATATCATAAACCACAAACCATATCAAACTTCATTGTAAAATATGAATAATAAAGTTATACTAGAATGAGCATTCTAGTCAATAAATTGATAGATTTTGATGGTTTTACTGAGATATAAATGGCCCGGGTAGTGTTTCACAAAGACTAAGATCGACTTTAAGTTGGACTTAACTATGGCAGGCCATTCATGCCACTAGTTCCTCTAACCATTCCTGGCATTGGTTTATCAAGGGACATATAAATCGTGGTCACAAATCTACAGAATTTACCTTTTTTGATAGTTTATTATTGAAGTTTAAAATATTTTCTAAAGATCATAATTGAGAGACCAATGGTGAGAGCGACCGGTGGCATGAATGGCCTGTCATATTTAAGTCCAACTTAAAGTTGATCTTAGTCTTTGTGAAACATTCCCCAGGCCATTTGTTGTTATGCTTTAAATCATAAATTCCATATTAACAGACTTACTACTTTAGCTTTCGGGGGTTCAGCTGGAGCTCTCTTTGGTGGGTTTGTCACCGACTCTGGGAGCTTCCTAGCTGCAGCAGCATCCCGGTTAGTTCCCTCTAGGTCTCTCTTCCGAGGAGCCGGTCTGGTCTCTTGGTTCCCGGATGAAGAATCATCATTGTCATCTCTTGGCTTTACAAATGAAATAAGATTTGTCATTGTAATCATCTCTGGATATTATAAAGACAATCACTAGACAATTGAAAAAATACCTAAACACACACCTATTTAGCTAATAAGTATTTATCCTTTTGTTATTCGCCTTTATTTTTTGTACTGTATTTCTTGTTATTTTCCTTTTGTTGTTGTTGTATTACTTCATTGTTCATATGAGTACTTGTTATCTTACTGTTCTGATACATTGTATCTATGTAAAGTACTACAGCTATTATGATAATAATCATTACCCTTCTCATCAAAATCAGACTCATGAGACATCCATCTACTGGACATCCTTAATACACATACATGTAAGGGACAATACCTTTTCCTGTTGGTCACTTCTACCTCTCTCTAACTAAAAAAAAGTATTCAATTTGGCATAATATAAAATAGCTTTACATCATAATGAATTTTCAATAAGGTGACAAAACACAACAAGTAATCTACCAATTTTATATGAAATAATTTATCAATTTGAATATTTGAATAATTTGATTTACCCTTGTGCGCTCTCCTTTTCCCTTCCATGCTGGTCCTGCATTCCGGTAGAATTCCTTCTCCAACTCAGCTTTCTTGGCCTCTTCCTTTGGTTTCAATATCCTCTCGTTAAAGCTCTCTGCCTGCTTATCAAAGAAAAGATAAATATTATTAGCCTAATATAATACAGCTCAGTGGCATATCCACAAATTGTTGCTTTCATAAAATCATTGAGCTTGACATAATAATTAGATTACTCATTATTTCTAAGTATCATTTGAGGTGTTCACACTTGTACAAGCATTGCTTTTTAGTGGACCCCTCTGCCGTTTCCAATATGTATTTCTACATTTGTTGTAAATGTTTATAATTGATTTGTAATGTTTTGTTGGAAACATAAATAAATTGAAATTGAATTGAAATCTCATGCCTAGTTTAATCCTTATCCGCATTTATGCAGTGAAAAAGAGCAGTGAAAAAGAAAATGCGTGGTCATTATATTTGAACACATTTTCTTTCTTGTGCTTCTTCCACAGATTACAATGTCTTTTCCCTGAAAATTAGAGAGTTTGCCTAGCCTAACATAAGCTATTATTCATGTTCAAACCAAATTTTACACATTAAAACCCCATTTAAAAAATAAAAAAAATTATGACTCTATACCATATTAGTGTAAATAACTTAAGATATTTCATGGATGTTCATGATTTCAGAAGAGCTAGCCAATAAGATTACAGTGTACCTTTAATGTATGCTCATCCTGTATCTTCTCTCTTGCAGCTTTCTGTTGTTTTAACAGCTCATCAGGAGGCAGTTCTGGTTTAGCAAGGCAAGAAAAATGCACTGAAATATTAACTTTCAAGAGGCTTAAAAATAACAATCAGGCAATGTGAAAACAAAATCTTTTTTCATATTCTAAAGAGTGAGTGTCCTCATCAAATATTGGATTTCACAAAGGAACAATTAGACAATCTTTACACAACAGCTATGTCATTTTAACTTGCGAATACAAACATGGCAAGTAATTTCACACACAGTTCTATAGGAATTGTGCAGACGTCCATAGACGAAGGCATTTCACAGTCACAAGGTGTATCAAGTCATGTGGTGGTGTGGGGGGGGGGGGGGGGGGGGGGGGGGGGGGGTGTCCGGACACTTAACAAACATACAGTCTTCTTTTTAGTGCCTTCAAATTGAACCAAAAATATTCTTCAAATAGCACTTTAACCATCATGAATATTTGTCCTTTATATTATTGCCCAACAGAAATCATAGAAGATTTATGAAATATTGCTTGTAAACTTCTTCAAATTGCTGTTTTGCCCGGAGTCCGGATACACAACCTGTCTGGACACACAACGTCTGGGTATACTATTCAAGTCCAAATACTTACTTTCTTTGGATTCATCCAAAGTGGGATGGGATTTCGGGAACCAACTAAAGTAAAACTTCTGAATGTTGTCTCCAAAGTAGAGCAGACAGAGCATCAGGATGAGGAGGTAGAAAAACCCTACTCCTGCTAGTCGCACAACCTCACGGAACTCTGGAAAGAGAGAGCAAAAGAAAAGAAAGTTTTCTCAATTGTCCTAGTTTTTTCCGATTAGTTAAGTACATTGTTTAAACATATTTGTGGCTTACACCCAGTAAATAAAATCGAATGATTGATCTGTAGTTTAGTATAGTATACCAATTACCAAGTTAGCAAACAGGGGTGCAGGCACGCGTGAAGTTATCGACTGTAATCTGTCATTATTAGAGGAGGCGCGATTGCTCAGTCGGTAGAGCAGTGGTCTCGTAATCTGGTGACCCGAGCCGTGAAACCTGTGAAAAAGTGTATACTAATATCAACGTTTATCCGAAAAATACTCCAAAAATAACAAGAAATTTGATACGAAACAGGTAATAAACGATAACGACTTTTAAATCATGATCTTTATTTGGACATTTAATGAATATTTACTTCATTTTGGGTATGTTTTAGAAGGGTATCTCCACGCCGGAGTTACGGGTCAAATTTTTGGATAGGTTTCTGAACAAGCGCCAAAATTGACACGAAACAGGTAATAAACGATAACGACTTTTAACTCATGATCTTTATTTGGACATTTAATGAATATTTACTTCATTTGGGGTATGTTTTAGTAGGGTATCTTCACGCCGGAGTTACGGGTCAAATTTTGGATAGGTTTTTTAACAAGCGCCAAAAATAGAGTTATGTTGTGTGATCAGTGAACACGCTTTACAATTTCCATTCAGATTCACAATAGGGTAGAATGCCCAGTATTCGGTCACTTAAGGGGAAATCACTAATATTTTGAATTCTTACCTCTTTTATTTTGCAATCTACCCATCAAAAGAAAAGAAAATTATTCCTCTGACAGGATTTCATAGTCACTTAACATAAAGAATGATGATAAGAAAAATATTTCCGAAAGAAGACGGAGCATTTTTCTGCCCAGAATTCGGTCACGCAATTTGTGCGTGGTATCTCCGTTGCCAAGGAGCGTAGCGTATTTGCGCACTATTTTCACACAATTGCGCGATAAAGCACTGATTGTAAATGCGTTGACCGAATACCGGACGAGCGATACCGCATGGCAAGGGTATCGTATAAATACCTCTTGCACATCGGCAAGTGCGTCATTTGCAAATTTGCTGCGATGGAGTGAAAACGGAAGTGATTCTCTTCACACACATACTAAATTCATTGCGACAGCACACGTAGTTGTTTCGCAATAGACTTCTACATATGGCTTAGACCGAATTTTCCGTCTCTTTCGTTCGTTAGCCTCTTATTGGGGTAGGGTCGGCTCTCTCTTTAGAGACGGAAGCCGTTTATACACATGTCCTTGCTAACGCCACGGCCAGTTCTGGTCGTAGCGTTTTGCCCCCAAAATCCCCCAAAATGTCATTTTACCTCGAGCATGTTATATTGTAAATTAGGCCTAGGCTATAATAAATCAGTTCCACTTACCAACTTGACTGAAATAATCAGTTTAATAGTCCCTTTTTAGGAAATTATGGGTCAAAATCGAAATCCATTTTGAAAATCTTTTTCAACATGGATTCCGATTTTGACCCATAATTTCCTAAAAAGGGACTATTAAACTGATTATTTCAGTCAAGTTGGTAAGTGGAACTGATTTATTATAGCCTAGGTCTAGGCCTAATTTACAATATAACATGCTCGAGGTAAAATGACATTTTGGGGGATTTTGGGGGCAAAACGCTACGACCAGAACTGGCCGTGGCGTTAGCAAGGACATGTGTATAAACGCCTTCCGTCTCTAAAGAGAGAGCCGACCCTACCCCAATAAGAGGCTAACGAACGAAAGAGACGGAAAATTCGGTCTACATATGGCTATGCATGCTAACAGAACGCAGAAGTGCAGAAAATTGTGAGACACTGACCAATTTCGAGCTAAGTTGGAGATCTTTCCGGGGCCCCATAATATATCTGATTTAATTTTGAGAGTTAAGAAAAGTTGTTCAGCTGCCTAGTTTGTGCAAGTTTCGCGGCTCATTAATTATTTATTTAATTGTTACAGCTGTTGAAACGGTTGTCTGACCGAATACTGGGAATGGCCTACTGGGCGCTCTACCCTAGGCCTCACAGTCACACACTTCTAAAGTCACACTCACAGTAACAGTCATCTCCCTCATCATACTTCTACTTCTACTTCTATTCTACTACTTGTCAAAGCCTGTTCAGCATCTAGACAAGGGTGATCTTTTGCCGACGGTGGACGGCTTGTGTAAATTTGTGCCGAAATATATACATGTTTATGGTGCAAGTAAAATGATAAAAATCATAAAAATCATAAAAAATAATGATGATGCTGTGACTATTCGCAGCTGATGGCTTCCTTGAACTGCTTCAATGTGGGCAGTTCAATGATATTTGTAGGAAGCTCATCCCAGTCTTTCATGGTGCGAGGAAAGAAGCTGTATTTGTAAGAATCGGAGGATGTACCAAGTCTGGTGAAACGAAGGTGATGTTGACTCCTTGTAGCTCTGTCTTTCTGTGAGATGTAATCTGGAAGAGGGATGGCTATCTGGTGGTGGAGGATCTTATACATCATGGCTAGACGTGATTCCAGTCGTCGCTCTTGTAGAGTTGGGAGTCCGATGTTCAATCGCATAGCCGTGACGCTGTCTTCTCGGCTGTGATTCCCTGTGATGAAGCGTATCCCCCTCCTCTGAACTTTCTCAAGGCTATCTATCAGGTTTTGCCGATATGGATCCCATATAGCTGCCCCATATTCTAGTTGTGATCTGACTAGTGTTGTGTATGCCTGTTTCTTGATGGCAGATGAGCATAGGCTGAGGTTTCTTCGAATGAATCCAAGTGTTCTGTTGGCTTTGGCTGCGACTGCCTTGATGTGATGTTTCCAGCTAAGTTTTTCATGGATCTCCATCCCCAAGTAAGACTGGCTGGAAACAGCGGCGAGCACCTCATCTCCCATGGTGTAGTTAAGGATACACACACACGGTCACACGAAAGAAAGCCTCCCAGTTTATATTATAACATTTTGTACAATATAAGTATATTTATACATGGCATTAATAGTAACATACCAAGATTTTCAAGCATAGCGAAGTTGATCAGCGATACCGATGTTTATTTAGATTTTAGATGTGTCTTCTCGATCGTCTGCTAGACATGCAGTCCCAAAAAGTTAAGGCGACAATATTATTTGGTTCAGATTTGTGCTGCCAATTTTATGATAAAATATTATCTGTCAACTTTATCAATTAAATATCATTTATCAGAATTGATGAATGAATTTTCTTTCATTTTATATCTTTAATATATATATAATAGTTCAACAAAATTGAATGTTTCTTTTATAATAATATATACATATATTTATTTTTCAAATGTTTATAGCTTTTTGATTGGCAATTCTAAGTAAATGCATTTAAAAACTGTGTGACATTTTCTTGCAAAATACGATGTTGTTGTTGTTGTTTTAGTTTTAAGGGCTGAATATTTACGACGTGTTCTTAGATGTAGCCTACCTCCAGGCTGAAATAAATATGTTTTATTAAGTTTGTACAGCTCCGGGGTTTTAGAAAACAAAACAAAATTGTGCATTAGTATCACATTTCTGGAAACGTGAAACTCTAATTAAAAAAATTAAAAAGTGTGGGGGTGGGGCTGTTTGCAAAATCACACATCTTTTTTCTTTTTCTTCTTCTTCTACTTCACCTTCTTCTCTACGCTCGGTTCTTCTTTGTCTTCTTCTTGTTTGTTGTTCTTCTAATAATCACTGTTTTTGTTCCTGTTCTTGTTCTAGCTTCTTGTTCTCCTTTTTTTTCCTTCTTCTTCTTCTTCTTCCCCGCCTTCTTCCGCTAATTCCCCCCCTTTTAGTTTCTGCTTCTTATTCTTTTGCTTCTTTAGTCTTCTTCATTTTAATTCTTCGATCTAGACCGTTCTACTTTATTATAATTCTTACTCTCAGTCTTCTCCTTCATTAAATTTGTTTTCTTCAATCTTCTTCGAACTTCTTCTTCCACTTCTTCTTCACCTTATAAGTACCTCTTCATCTTTTCTTTTCATTATTCTTCTTCTTCTTTTTCTTCTTCTTCTTTCGTTTTAACTTCTTGTTCTTGTTCTTGTTCTTGTTCTTGTTCTTGTTCTTGTTCTTCTTCTTCTTCTTCATCATCTTCTTCTTCTTCTTCTTCTTCTTCTTCTTCTTCTTTTCCTTCTCCTAATCCAGTCCTTCTCCTTTTTCTTCTTTTACCTTTCCTTTTTAATATTTGTATTTTCTCTACCTGGGATGAATGACACAGGTTAAGCTGTTATCTTTGCTTGACAAATCAAAAGTTGAGACTTTCTTTCATTGTTGAACCTTTGCTATCTTCCTCGGGACTATATTAAGCAAATAACTACCGTTGGTGAAGGTGATGGGACAAACTATCACTTCCGAGGCGATCTAGATGTAGCTATCTTTCCGAAGCGAAGCTGAGGAAAGATAGCGTATACATTCAGATCGCCGAGGAAGTGATAGTTTGCCATCGCCTGAAACCAAAGGTGATTATTTGCTTTATATTCCACATCTAAAACAATTTAACTACACAAATAAAAAGGACGTGTATGCATCTACATTAAAAAAAGTTTAAGTTTAATCCAACCCCTTGAGGGTAAGGTGCGCGCATGTGTTTTCTTTAATTGCGCTCATTGGTAATGCGCGCTTAATTACGCCTGTTTTAGTGCGCTTTTGGATAATCTTCAGTGAAAGTGCGTTGCCCTTTGTAGATAGTACCTCTTTCTTCAGTGAAAGTGCGTTGCACTGTGTAGATAGTAGTACTATCTACACAGTGTAACGAACTCTTTGCTTCTCCCATCAATAATGGGCGAATTATCTTTCATCACGTGATTTACGTTTGACCAATCGTAGAGCAAGATTCTTAGTATGTGGAATATAATAGCTTATAGCTATATTCCTAATTCTGAAATCCTAACATATATCGTTATATTCTAGCCCAGAAGTAAAAAGAGAAATTTGAGAGGTAAGTGTCTTTTGTTAATGTTAGAGAACACATTCGTTTCAGAAAATCAAAAAGTACAGTAGCCCTAGACTCGATGTAAATAAATTGTTTTAACCCCCCCCCCCCCCCCCCCCCCCCCCCCCCTCCCCCTCCCCTCAACATCTCTCCGATTTTCGTTGGATTGCATTGTTTTTTTCTAAGACTTCTGACAAGACTAGCAATTGCGGGAAATCGGTCTTGTTTTGATTCGCGTTTCGTGGTAAGAAGTTTGGTGGATTTTTCTAAATTCTAAAATTTTGACAAATGTATGACTGGTAATAAAGTGGGGGTGTTTACTTTGGAATACCCCACCAATACAAATATTCCTTCGTGAGCAACACAATCACTTTAATTGTCTGTTTTGCAAAAGTAGTTGGCCTAGAATCGGGTTCGAACATGTTCGAAGGCGCAGGCGGTGCGGGCAACTAAATGTTGAGCAGGCGCTAGCTACAGCTACGGGCGCGGCGGGCAATCGGCACCTCGCGCTCGCGCAGTGCATGCGGAAAGAGAACAGAGAATGCAATGGACGCCGCGCCAGACGCCTAACCAGTGGGGGAGGGGGAGGGGGGACGGAAGAAAGGAAGAAAGGAAGAAAGGAAGAAAAAGGAACAGACAGACAAGAGTCGAGAATGGTATGAAGTAGACCGAATTTTCCGTCTCTTTCGTTCGTTAGCCTCTTATTGGGGTAGGGTCGGCTCTCTCTTTAGAGACGGAAACCGTCTAGACTCTATACACATTCCCTTGATAACGCCACGGCCATTTCAGGTCGTAGCGTTTTGTCCCCAAAATCCCCCAAAATGTCATTTTACCTCATGCATTGATTATTTAAAATTAGGAGAAGGTTATACTACATCGGTTCCACTTACCAACTTGACTGAAATAATCCGTTTAATGGTCCCTTTTAAGGAAATTATGGGTCAAAATCGACATCCATGTTGAACATGTTGAAAATCTTGCAAGCTGTGTTAAACTCTTGCTAAGCACGTACTTGGTACTTGGTTGGGTAATCCCTTTGGCAGCTCACTCAGGAAGCTATACTGGGATGGTAGGTGAGGCAAGTGACTACAAGGAGTGTCATGAATTGCTGGAATGGTGTGTGGACAAAGCACTTGTCAATTTACAGTAAAATATGCTAAGTCCAGTGCAAGTAAAAACCAAGCTAGTAAGCTTATATGATGTGAGAACCAACGGGGGGGGGGGGGGGGGGGGGGGGGGGGGGGGGGGGGGGGGGGGGGGGGGGGGGGGGGGGGGGGGGGTGGGGGGGGGGGGGGGGGGGGG